GAGGGACATATCTAGCCAAGAGGTCGGACAGGTACGGAGGGGCAAGGCCGTGCAAGACTTTAAAAACATAAAGCAAAACCTTAAAATCTACTCTCCATTTAACAGGCAGCCAGTGAAGGGATAGCAGAACCGGAGTGATATGGGCATGCCGACGAGTGTTTGTCAGCAGACGGGCAGCCTCGTTCTGAACAAGTTGGAGCCTGGAGAGTGATGACTGGGATAACCCGGAGTACAGGGCATTACAATAGTCAAGCCGGGAAGTCACACACGCATGAATGGCTTTCTCTAAGTCACTATGAGAGAGAAATGGCTTTACCTTTGCTAACAATCTTAGCTGGTAGAAGCTGGATTTAACCACTGACTTGATCTGCTTATCAAAGTTGTGCCAAGATCAACTGCACTTCCATCCAACTGGGGGCTGATAAATTCAGATTTGCCTTCATTTAAGTACAAGAAATTCTGACTAATCCATCGCAGGGCTAACCCTAACCCTAACCCAGGCCCTGCGATGGATTGGCGACCTGTTCAGGGTGTACCCCGCCTTCGCCCGATTGCCGGATTGGCTCCGGCCCCCCAGTGACCCCGCTCAGGGACTAAGCGGTAGAAAATGAATGAATGAATGAATTCTGACAAAGCCAAGTTTTGACATCCTGTAGACAGTTTTGTAATGCACCAAACGAACCTGACTCCGGTTGAACCAGCGGCATATAGATTTGAATATCATCAGCATAAAAATGGAAGGGAACGTTGTGGCTAGATATAATGGCGGCAAGCAGTGACAGATACAAGGAAAATAACAAAGTGAAGAGGATTCCTTTGTATCTTTCTTTCTACAACACGTTTTAACTTAAAAATACTTTCACTTGACTATTTACATTTCTTTTAAACTTCAAAGGCCTATTATATTTGTAGTCTATTTTGTTTGGCAGTAATTCCCAATCAGCTGAGGGGGGCCCCAAGGTAAATCTGAGGGTTTACAACATAATTAAAAAAAGAAAAAAGAAATATTTTCTACTTTACGTAAGTGTGCTTCTTATATTTGCGTATATCAATTAAGGTAGAATTTTAACTGCGGAATTTAATAATTACGTATTTTCACATGTTTTGTTTCTTTTTGTGTTACTTTTTGAAGGTTTGCGACAGTTTTGACATTTGGTGGTAAAAGATGTGAGCCAATCAGAGGGCACATCACGTGGTTGTGTTTTGCTCTTTGCGCAGGTAAAGTGACCACAGAGCCACAGACGGACTTTCCTCTCCTTCAAAATAAAATGTTTTAACCTTTTTATACAGCAGCGAGGCTGCTCTGTGCTCCGGCGTCTATGCACTCGATAAACTGCGTATTTCCTTTAAAACCATTAAAAAACACTTTCATCGTGGGATACAGCTGAAAGCTCCAGCAAAAGATTGTGAGGGAACCTTGACTGATACAGTTACATTTATCTTTGGACAATGCATTTCTTTTACTTTTTACTTTGAAACTTTAAGTATTATTTAATTAAAGCATTAAAGCAAGTGTTTATTAGTAATTATAATAAGAATAATAATAGATAACATTGTGTTGCTTTTTACAATAACAGAATATTCTACATTATCCCTTTGTCCTTGAACTCACCGCTTATACAATTTTATTTTGAAAACCAAAAACCGGACAATCACTAAAACGTCAGTTCACTTGACGCAGATGTCAGTTCGCGTGACGCTGTGAAGTGAAACTTGCTGCTTGTCATTTTACTTTATGGAAACTTCCAGAGGAGCTGTGGCTTCTAGGTGTACTTCTCTCAGCTATCTGTGACAGAACGCAGCGTTTTTAGTTCCACGATGTCCGGGCACGGCCACGGCCACGGTCATGGACACGGCTGCGGGTGCGAGGGTGAGCACGAGCCCGCGGAGAGGGGCCTGGAGTACGGACTGTATCAGCGCATCGACCTGGAGAAGGTGCAGTGTCTGAACGAGAGCAGGGACGGAGACGGGAAGCTGGTGTTCAAACCGTGGGATCAGCGAAACGAGCGGGACAAGGTATCGGCTGTACAAAGCCTCTCCTCCGGCCAGTTGTTCTGCATGTCTCCCCCGTGCAGTAACACTCTGCTGCGTTAGCTAGCTCCATATGTGGCCGATGAGAGCGCAGGTTTGTGGAGCTCCTGTCTGTGAGGAGCAGCTGGCTACATGGAGACCATGTTTTTTTAAACCAACAAAACTGTATTAATATTGTTAATACTAACACAATACATGTAACAAAGTAGCTTAACTACTAATAATGAATTAACTAAATAGTTTCATTTTATTTACTGCTAACTAACTAATCATATCAGCTCTACATGATGTCACACAGTCCAATGTGATGAACATTTACAAATCAGACTTACATCTTCCACACCTCAACAGATACTGTGATCTACATGTGGGAAATGTGTCCGTTATTGAGATAGATGATTTGCCACAGTCCCCAGTTCTGGTTGTTCTTACTAGGGTCAATTTGGCCCACAAACCAGTCAAACCAGTATCCCAGTCTGATAATGACTCGGTTCAGATGGTGAACTTTAAAGCTGCTGTCAGTGATTCACTTTCCTGTCTTGTAGTATGTCGAGAGCGATGCAGATGAAGAGCTACTGTTCAACATCCCGTAAGTCCTTTAATATACATTTTTTCTTCATCATCATCATCAATCTGAACTTTAACCTTTCCTTCTGCATGTACACTGAATATTTATTTTTTCCTCTTTTACACAGATTTAAAGTAAATATATATATGGTAATGCTATTAAATTAAAATCTTGGTATGATGTATGCATTATGTTGCTAGCAAAGCACTGTATCAGTGAGATGAGCCTCTTTACTGTTTTGGAAATTTGACCTACATGATTCTGGTTCTAATTTCATTTTTGGTTTTCACAGTTCTCTTTCTGGAGAGCTTCTGCCTTCCTGTCTTTCACTGTCATGGAGTCCAGTTGTTCCATTTTCTTTCTGTGATTTAAAGGAACTGTGTTTTATTTTTTATTTTTTTAGTTTCACAGGCAGCGTGAAGCTGAAAGGCATCATCATCTCTGGAGAAGACGACGACTCTCATCCAGCTGAGATACGACTGTGAGTTTCTGGCTCTGTTTCTCTGCTCAGGGCAGTGATGCAGGACAAACTCGGCCACATTTGAACTGGGGATGTTCAGTATCTTAACCGCCACAAAGTCTTGGCTTAATTAATTGATTATAGTACAGGGTGTCTGGCTTATTTAAAGTGCCATTAAAATGTGAATATTGTAATATTTTTTTAATAGTTTGTGTTATATCACCTGATGACTGCCAGACCAAATCTAATCAGTTCATCCAGTATTGAAACAAATGCTTAATTCAAGATTATTAAACAAACTTAAAGTAAACATTTTCATCCTAGGTACAAAAACATCCCTCAAATGTCATTTGATGACACCGGCAGAGAACCTGAGCAAGCCTTCAGACTGAACAGAGACCCTGTCGCTGAGCTGGAATACCCAACAAAGTGAGAGCACCAACAGTAATACTTGTTTTTCATTTCAGCCAAGTTTCTCCTGGTTGCAGTAAAGCTCCAGCTGTGGCCCTTATTCTAAACTGAAAGCTGCAACTAGGGTTTCTGACAGCACACGTTCACCACCAACATGAGACTAATAATGTTTAATACGTTGTCTTAATCATAATTTTTCATAGCACCACGGTTGCAGAATGTAACTTTACGTAACAAATGTTTCTGCTCCAAATGAGTTTTTATCACTTTCCTGGAGTCTTCCACAGAGAGTTTTAGATGTGCTCACAAAAGAGCCGATAACGTGATCTGTTTTGTGTGTGAGATGAGTTGTGATCATTTTCAGACGCTCAGTGACCTGAGGCTGAGAAATCCTGGTCGAAGCAGCTTTTAAAAGACAAGTGAAGCCAATCGCGTGTTTCACTTTCTTTTGGTCTTAACATGGCATCACAGTGTTTAGTGGTGTCACAAAAGATTCAGGCCTTTTCACTTTTTTCACACTTTAATGTGTTGTAGAGTTAATCTTAATGGATAAAATTGCAGTTTTGCCCATCAGTCTACACTCAATGACCCGTAATGATAAAGTGAAAACAGGTTTTTAGAAATTCTCCAATTTAATTAATTAAAAACTAAACATGAAATCTTCCATTTACAAAAGTCTTCAGACCTTTTGCTGTGGCTCTGGACTGTGCTCAGGTGCACCCTTGTTTGCTGAGATATGTCTAGGGCTTGACTGGAGTCCATCTATGGCAAGCTGAACTGACTGGACAGGGTTTAGAAAGACACACCTGTGCATGTACAGTCCCACTGTTCACACTGCATGTCAGGACAAAAACCAAGTCATGAAGTCCAAAGAAATGTAAGTAGACCTCTCTCATAGAACGGTAGTGATCAGTGTTGCCAGGAGCACAGTGGCCTCAATAACTGTGAAACGGAAGATGCCTGGAACCACCAGGGCTCTTCTAGATTCAGCTGAGTAACCAGGCAAGAAGCGCTTTGGTCAACAAGGCCCTTCTGTCAAAGGGGCTTCTTCTATGAAGTCCTGAATTAAAGATCAGAATACATTTTTAACTTTGTAATTTTAGATTTTGATTGTTAGCAAATTTGCAGAAATCTCCAAAAACATGTTTTCACTTTGTCATTATGGGTTATTGAGTGTAAATTGTCAGTTTTATCCATTTAAAATGTACTGTAACCTTTAAAGTGAGGGAGTCTGAATATTTTCTGAAGCCACTGTACATGCATGTGTTCGTCCTTCTGTAACATGAGTCATTATGAGCATGTTCACATCATCTCATCATCCTGCACCATGCTGGGTTCCATTAATAGGCTTTAAATTTCTCAGACAGTCTCACGCAGGCACAGTATTGTTGCTTCTGTTGAGGACATACGTTCCCCCAGCCTCAAACTGAAGTGTGTCTTGTGTCATGATTACCAGGATCGCTCGTTTTTCCAGTGTTCAGCACCTCTCCATCCACATCTCAAAGAACTTTGGAGCAGAGAACACCAGGGTTTACTACATTGGTCTGAGGGGAGAATACACAGAGGTCAGTGTGAGCGTCAACCCTCCTACTCAGATAGGACCAGTGTGCTTGCTCCTTGAGGGACCCGGCGTGAAAGTGTATTGCTGGGCCTGCACACTGCACAGGAGATTCACAGTTTCCCCAGGCACACAGACACTAACCAGCATGAGTTGATTAATCAAGTAGTAGACTGACAGAAAATCTGTTGGCAACAATTCTGACATTTGACTCGTCATAATTTTTAAGCAAAAATGCTAAACATTCATTGGTACCAGCTTCTCAAGTATGGATATTTGCTAGTTTTCCTAGTGTACCATGATAGCAAACTCTTATTCTTATTGGTCAGACAAAAAAAGCCGTTTGATTATGTTTGTACTGTTTTTCCACTAATTTCATATCATAACTACACTGAGGGCATCAGGTTGGGTGAATAGTTGAATGGGAAATGGTGTGAAGCGGTTTGAGTGCACTTCAGTGCATAGAAAAGTAAAAGACCTTTAGCATTCTTTCCCAAAATATGCTGGTGTCTCTCCGGTGTTGATCAGTTTCCCTTCTGTGTCAGTTGCGGTGACAGCTGCTCATAAAGTCCTTTTTTAAAAATTTAAATACCAAGCAATTCACATTTACTTTTCAACTATGAATTCTGCTCATTTTGCATGATTCAGTCAGCACTGAATGTTCATACTTGTGAGTTTTCTTGTTCCACCTTATTCAATTTAAGGATGCTTTTCTTTGTCAGACATGATAAACTGAATATCTTTGGGTTTGTTGGTTGGACAGAACAAGACATCTGAACACACCGCCTTTGGCTCTGGAAAGTCAAACATTTGGAAAAAGTTGGACATTCTGTGGGGTGGGGGGGGAGATAAATATTTGACTGATTAATCAGTCAGCCCTGTATTTTTTATTTCCACTAAATTATTCAGGATTTTTCTTTCATTAGTCACCTTGTCAGTGTTTTAGTTTTGAGTGCAGAGTTGGTGTGTAACCTGTCTGTGTAGCTTTGTACATGACACACTACCTATAAACTTTTGTCTGTGCTGGAAGTGAAGCTGTCGCTCTCTGTCCTTTTAAGGCTCACAGACACGAAGTGACGATCTGTAACTATGAGGCGGCGGCAAACCCTGCAGATCACAAACTGGAGAACATCATCCCGCAAACCAACTTTATTTCCTGAAAGCTGCAGAGGGCTGGAAGAAAGAAGAGGAGGAGAGGTTTTACTGGTGCCGCTGAGTGTCACTGACGCATGTCAGAAAGTCAAAGATGAGTTCAACGCTGCGTGCTGGCAGGTTGGTCGAGCTCGACCAGGACTGAGCACTGAAATCTGAGGCCCTCTGGGCTTCAGATATGTAGAAGTGCCAAGTTGGTGCTTCGTTTTCTATGGCAATAAAGAGTGAAGGCTTTGTGTGGGCAAAAAGCTTAATAATAAATGCATGAAACATTTGACCCTCGGGTAAAGTTTATATACTCTTATTCTTGTCAAGATATCCACCACTTTGGTAAAGTGACAGCTACTCTCACATAAAACAGTGAAGGCAAGAAATTAAACCAAACTGGTAATTTTTGATGAATTAAGGACTTTAGTTGTCATGTTTAAACTGAATTTATAATTAGCTTCAAGTGATTTTTATGTTTAAAACATGTAAAGAAGCTTACAGAAAATAAAGATGCTGCTTAGAGTTTATCAGCAAATGCAGTCTGAAAATTATTGACTGAAAAGCATTTTCAGTGCTTGAAAAAACAAAACTACATTATTTGCCCTTAGTAAGGATCATGTGCTGGATAATTTCTGCCACCCAGTGGATTGCTTTGTGACTGCCGCCTTGTCTGAGCACTAACAGAAATGGATTTCCACAGTCCAGAATGCTCTAGTTGTCTTTCCTTAATTTGTCTGGTTGTCTGTATTTGACAGCTAATACTTTTGTATTTTTAACAAAAGTAAAAGCATTCACAATTGTTTGTATTCAGGAAATCTGTAAAAGGTTTTTAAAAATCCCTTTTATAGTGGGGTTGAAGTAATAATTTGCAAGCAGAATCATCTCTATATATATTACACGTAGTATTTTAACCACTGTATAGTTACCGTATGTTCAACTGTATTATATCTGAAACTAATCGTGATCAGTGGGCGTTGCTATGCGATGACGTATTTCACATCTGGTCCCGCCCACTACTAGTGTGCGGCCAGTAGCGGAAGTTCCGCTCTGTCGTGAACTGGGACAGCAATCGGTGAGTGTACGGATTTGTATTGGGTAGCGGGCCGCGTTTCTAATTTTTAACGTTTTATCCCGACACAGATGGAACTTTATCGGGGCTTTACGTTGCTTAATTTGTCTTCCTGAAAGCGGTCTGTGTTTGAGCTCCGAATTTGAATCGTAACGTTAGTTTGAGGCACATGAAGAGAGACCGGTGGAAGACAATACGGTTGATGTGTGTGCGGTGTTAGCTAGCAGCAGCTTTACCACCACTACTAGCCAGGTTATTGTGTTAATGTGTGTCGAAGGGAGACGGCTTAACCGGGATTAAATCAGAGTGCGAAGTCGGTCGGTCCTTTTTGGAGCAGCTGAGGTTTTGCACCACTGAATGCCATCGCTTCCGAGGATGAGGAGGGTAATGATGATGGGTCGCACAACAGAGCTAACCATTCATTGTGTTTTTCATCTTCGACGCCCCCGCCACCCGCTTCCTCCGCTGCAGCTATTGTCTGATAGCGATACACGGTTTCACCTCGCTGTCTTCATTATGCTCGTTTGCATGCAGTTAGTCAGCTAGCTAAATGGGCTATTAAGGGTGCAGAGCAGGGTTAGCTGCTGCTGGTGGATGCTGTGGAGGAGGAGGGGGGTGCCTGTCATTCAGTGCCGCATATTATGTGCCGTTTGCATCGATCCGTAGCCACTGAGAGCTGTCCGAGTGCAGCAGCCTGTGGTTGGACACAGACTGCAACACGCCTCAGGTTTTGTGATAAATGTAATGGGAGTCTTGCAGGATGCAGACTCGTGATGTGGATCGTGTTGGCTGTAACACAGACGGCATTTTCTCTTTCTTTCTTGGTTTGTACAACTTAAACGTAACACCGAGCCTTTGCTGCTGCCTTACATTTTTCCAATATTTAATAATCTGTTCATGTTTTAGGTTTCACTATTGCAGCTTTCATAGTGCTCTGTCACAGTAATTTATTGACACATCCCTCGATATCAAGAAGACATTTACTCTAAACCAAGATTTTTTCAGTGACCAAAGTTCAACACAATATTCACAATTATTTGATGGTATTTATTAGTCCTGCCACTGATGATTAATTTAACATTTGTTTAACTACTTTCTTGATCATTCAATTTGCAGCAGAATTATACATTGTCAGAATATAGTCTAGTGAAAACTGTAGTTGCATTCAATCAGCAGAGCAACTGAGAGTTGCAGCAAGTAATACAGTTCAGTAGTTTTTTTTTTTTTATCCAACCTGTATTGGACTAGATGCACACAGCGTAATTCTATTTTTAACCAGCGGTCTCTTGTAGAAGAAAAGAGAGAGCATTGTTTTTTTCAAGTGTGTACTGAAAAACCCACGCAATGTTTTATGGTGTTAACTCTGGGTCTTAGGTCATTGTGAATAACAGGTGCAAAAAGGGGTATAAAGGAGATTAATGGCCTCTTTGCATATGCTACCACTTTCAGAAAGCTTGTCCTACTTGTTTGAACACACTGTTTCTGCACTCCTCCATCTCACTCCTCTCTATCTTTTTATCTCATTGTTCCATTTCTTCTTTCCTGATTTTATTCTTAGTGTCTCTCAGGCTGTCTTTTCCCTTTCAGAGGCCAGGTTGCAGCTAGGTTTCATTTGCTTAAAGAAAGAAGGGGCTTTAGTACTGAATTAGAATTTGGTGATTTTCAATGCACCTGCTCTGATGCACATTTTGATGGTATTGTGTTTTGTTTGAGTCATTTGCTTAAACAAAATCATACTGTGCAGTCATTTGCAGCTTAAAGTGTTTGGTATCAAACATTCAGTGTTGGGAAAATGTGTTCACTTCCTTTACTTAAGTTAAAAATACCAGTGCTACAGCTCCAAAATGCTGTTAAATTATATCTTACTTATTACAGGTATTCACAGGTATCATCAACTAAATGCAGGATCAAAAGTGAAAGTACTCATTCTGCAGAATAATGTCCCCTTAGTAATATATTATTATGTATGACATTACTAGATTGTTAATACTGATTTACCTACTTTATACAAGTTTGGCAGTCTAGTGCAGGTTCCCATCAAGGGGACTTGACTGCTTTTTCTGTGACATAATGGGTAACAGTCCAAAGTCCTGAGCGATTCAGTTAACAGTTAATTTATAGCAAAGACTAATAAAATAATTAATCAGAACTGAAAAATGTTACTATATTTCAAATAAATGTAGTGAAAGTAGAGTAATGGAGTATAGGTGTAAAGTCTGATACAGCTGACTGTTTCCTGGTACATGAACTTGCCCAGTTATTATTCAGCTGTTACTCATTTGTCACGAGTCAGGATGCAAGGCTAAATCAGCAGCTTTTGTCCATTCTTTGGAATCTTTAATCACACTTTTGCTCTCCACTTCCAGGTATTTTGGGCTTAAATGTGAACTTCAGTTGGTAATTTGTCAGCTGTCAAAGGGCAAACACGCACAGGCCACAGGAAAGTCTCGGCTCGGCCGTAATAGGGGTGGGTGGAATGTGACACCCATTGAGTATAATGCTGCTCAGGATTTCAACATTAACCTTTGTGTTTCAGTCATTTCCCCATCTCCTCTTTGCCCATTCACCAACCAGGCAGTGTGCCGCCAGGCCTGCCCATCCCATCTTGTCTCCTCCTCTCTCAGATCATCAAAAAGTTAAAGGCCAATGATGAGCGATGGCTTTTACTGCTCGACTTTACCGTAAAACCCACACCTGATCTCCAGCTTGTTATCAATAGCTGACTCACAACAGAGAGACAGACGTCTGCAGCTGATTTACAGTGGAGGCAGTGTGTCTCAGTTAATGAGTCCTGTCACTTTGTTGTCTCCCGAACCCTGCTGACACACAAACACATAGTTCATGGCTGCTTTTTGAAGTTCTTTGTGTTTGTGTGTATAAGTGGTACGCTCAGCTTTGTTGTTCCTGTGTGTGGGTTGAACTGCAGCACTGATTACCAGCCAGGGTTGTAACTGTCAGGGCAGAGCTGGTCATTATCAGAATGTTAAAGCCTTCTAAACAACATGACAGATCCCACTGTGCACGACACGTTACGTTTGTGTGAATAAGCTCTACTGGTTACACAATGTGACTATGTCCTGGGAAACAGTGCTTTTTTACATTTGTCTTTTTAAAACACATTTTATTAACTTTTTACAACTTAAGAGAATTTACCACAGTTATTGTGTTTTCAAGGCACAGGTCCTGCTATTTCCTGATTTTCTGTGCATTTAATGATTTAATATTACATTATGATAAAATAGATTATCATGCTTTGCACAGTCAGAGCATTTAGAGCCACATAGTTGATATGCTAGAAATGAATCAGCTACAGATACTGGATTCTCGAGGCCGGTTCCCGTACACATATGTGGGAGTATAAAGAAACATCTAATACATCAGCTATTGGTAATCCTTTTTAATATAAACAATCATCTTGATACATGTTGCCTTTTGTTCTTATTAAGAGTAACAACCAAGATATTAGGAAGGACATTTTACAGTAAAGAGATCAGACTTTCAGAGCTCTCTGTTCAGACAAGCTGTGATGAAGAAATCATTTCTAAATCGGCTCAAACCTAGTTTGGATTTTTATGTGCTGTAATGTTTTGTTACTTATCGAATGGCATATCTGCTTTAAGATAATATCAATTGGTTTATCAGTCTACCGCTAACCAGAAATATTTTGAGAAATGATTAATTTTTCAAGCAAAAGTGCCAAATATTCTCTGGTTTCAGCTTCTCAAATGGTGAGCATGTAGCTTGTGTTGAGCAGTGAATTAAACACTCACTTAAATCATTTCAGGTTTCGGACTGTTGATCGAATAAAACAAGCAAACTGAACACATCACTGGCCCCTGAGAAACTGTTAAATACACTTTTCACCCCCTTTTAGCATTTTATAGACTAAACAATTGGCTGAGAAAACAATCAGTAGTGAAACAGTATTGGTCATCAGACAAAAGAAATGTTGATTGCTGTATTATTAATCTCTGGTAAAATTCTGGTAGAAATTTTTGGGTCCCTTTAGGAGAATAATTCCTGTGAATGAAATTGTAGATTAAATAATGTTTAATGTAGCCTGAGAGGCACAAACCAGGGCAGATGTATACCCCACTGGGCAGTTCGTAAAACATCTTGCTCTGAGTCATAATTGAACTCGAATTAGATGAGCATGTGGAACAGTGTTAACGGAGCCAGTAACCATAGGATATAATACAGTGACTCTAGAGCCTAAGACTGATTCATGAGTAGGAATCTAAACTGGTAGGTTGTTATTGTAAACTGTCGCATCAACAGCATTTATCATCAGCACATCAGGGGTCTCAACTAGTCTCTCTACAATGGCAGGAACCAAACGTGACAACTTGATGTCGATTTTAAATATTTCCTTTTATAGCTGCAGTGTGGAAAGTCTCTTGGTTCATATACAGACCTGAAAGCTGGAAATCATGAAAACTAAGGCACATTTTGTAAATTGTGGCTGTATGAGATCTACAGTTCTTTGTTTGGCCTTGGTGCACTTGACAATATATTTTATGTAAAGCCACACTATACAACCTGCAGTCAGCTGACTTGTCATTTTCCTGTCCTCTCTTCTGACTCCAGCATATTTTACAGTGTATGTGTGGCAACAACATGTCTGTGCCGCTGCTCGCCGAGGCCGTGACAGTGTCTGGGGTGGAGAAGGAGACCGCAGCGGTGAGTACGTCCACCTACCTGTTGTGTACAGTCACAGAGCAGTTTAGAACGGGCAGGGAAGAGGTGTTGGCGTGTAGCTCCTGGCAGCTGATGGACGTTTCCTCTGGTCTCTAAGTTGCCTGGTTGGACCAGATCAGATGATTAATGTTGTAGTTCTCGATAGTAAAGAGATATTACACTAAATCCACCCATCCCCCACCCCCCCTCCCTTATTTTGGCTATACCTTCTCCTTCCAGGAAGTGAATTTAAAAGCATGATGATATCACTTTTTGTTACAGGTCCATACATTCTGATTTATCTCCAAATAATCTCCTAAATTTCCTGGAAATAACCTAGTTTGGCACAAATTATAAGTATAAAGTAGAAAGTGAACAGTTGCTACACTTCCAGTTATTTGTAATTGCTAAACTAGCACAATGTTGACACTTCAGTACCGACAAACCTACAACACAACATAGTTAGGAAATAGCAGACCTGATAAATAAGGGGTTAACTGCTTTTTAGTTGTAATATTCCTTTATTTTCCTTCTAACACAATGTTATTGATTAAACACATTTCTACTGTGGCACAGAGACGGTAGCTTTGTCAAAATTGATTGAAAGTTAGTTGTCACCAAATACTGATAAAATCATGTGTGGAAAATGGTTGAGAATTTAAACATTTGTTTGTAGCTGCATTGTAGTTGCACCTTGATAGGTAGGTGCAGTACATTAAACAGGTACATACAACAGGACTTTTATCGAGCTGTGCTGAGGGAATTGTTAAGCACCATGATCAAACCCTGTGTGGAAGAAGAAACATGTTTTGATCTCAGCTAAATCTCAGATTTCCAGCCAACAAGCAGCAAACTGCCACTTTCCTAAGTTGTTGTTATTCCCTTTGATTGTGTTTCTGCAGAGAAGTGTGTGTGGAAACTGGCAGTGAGAGCTTATCTTGGCAAGAATGGGAGATTGGGTCCTGTTTTCAGTAGCACATTGTGTACAGTGCAAGGGCAGCACTGTAATAAATTGGCTTGAAGTTCAAAGAGGTGTTTGTGTTATTTTTTCTGTAAATTGTGAGATGAGGTTGAACATTCTGCAGCACTCACAGTGATTAGTGTGTCTACTTTGATTAATAACTATCTGACACATCTAAATGTCTTTGTATCTGGATTTGGAAGGAAATGTTGAGAAATATTTCCAGTTCATGTGGGTGTGGACCGATTTAAAGTGTGGAAAGTCCTAACCACTGTTGTTATCTGTTACAGGTGATCTTCCTTCACGGGTTGGGAGACTCAGGGTGAGGGGTGTTTTATTGTCTCCACATTCAGCCTCCAATGTGCAACTTAGTTCTGTTTTTTGTGTCTTCTATAACAATTTGTCTTTATTTTAATGTATATTTGAGCAGTGTCAGTGAAGCGTATTTACATAAATGAGGTGTCTTTGCTTTTAGACTCAGCCTCGACAAATGAATGTCTGTAGCGCTGTCTATAAAAAACTGACAACTTCATTTACAGTGGCCTCAGGAACTATTCAGACCCCTTCAAAAAAATGCAAACACTTCTAAGAAATGTTTTCATGTTGTCATGGTGGTTTATTGAGTGTAGATTGATGGG